ATATTATATATATATATGTTTGTAAGTATAACTATAATATAATTTTTAAACAACATCGTGATCTTGTGTGTACACTCTATTATTGTCGTCGGAAAACTTCCRGTTTTCAATAGATACACTYGCGATCGGACGGATAAAATGTTCGTTTATTGACTCGCGCTTTTGCGGCGTCGAATGTGCAGCGGTTTAAAGTTCAAACACTTTCGTCCACTATCTGTAGCTATATATAGTTCACTGTACCTATGTAAGTATACACCTAGTGTTTTACTGTTCTATATTATCATTTTTATGTGGCGATAATCATAATAGTAATAATATATAATAAAATATTATTTCAATACAACAAAGAGATATAGATTATAGAAACAAAATCTGTCTCCGACATAGCGCGAGATTGAGTTACTTTGGGTAAACTTTGAATTCGGGACGCATTTTTACGAATATTACGAGTCTATTATATTATATAGACGTGTTATATACCTATTACGACTGTAAGAAAGATTGAAATWCACGCTCTGTTAATATGCAATAGTTACCAGCTTCTACATATTACCTATTATGATAATTGTTTTAATTAATTTGCGAGTTAAATGAGTTGAGTAATAGCTGCTAGTTGTCACTTATARTGATGTATATTATGTTATGAACAAATGCAGCCGGCAATATTGAACAAATATTCAAACATTTAAAATTTTGTACTGGCTAAAGATTTTATAATTAACAATACCTAGCTTGCTCTCTAGATAAGAAGTACCTACCTATATATCTGTGAATTAAAATTGGTTATGTTAAGGCCTTAAGGGTACTAAGATAAGAAGTTATAATTTACTTATTAATATAATAATTGTTCTGATTAGGTTCACCTACAAATWATCAACGTTTTAAAAACGAGTTCACGGTAATTCTCATGATTTACAATTTTAAGTCATCAGATTTTGTAGCTTTTACTTTTGAATTACTGAAGAAAAAAAATACAGTTGTCCACTTGAACAATCTATCGCAAAGGTTCAAAAACTTGACGGCCTAGAATAATCTTTTAAATTCTGAGCAGAGCGATGAATRTATTGATTTTACGATGTTGTGGTTTTTTTGTGTGTCTGTGTACACGATAAGCTATCGAAATAATGCTTAGATTTTCAACTTCAGTAGCTTTTCCGGTTGGAAAGTGAATCTAGTTGATGTATCTAACGGGATTTAAGCGATAAGATGCGTTAAAATTATAATTATATATCATTAAAACAAGCTAGGTACTGACAGTTATTTAAATTATACATAATAAATAAACAAAATAAAAATGCATTTAAAACCAGAAATATTATTTATTTGTTCATAAAAATTCCAAAAATTGGTGGGTTGTTAGAAATAATTATTTAAATTTTTATTTATTYGTACATGTTTTACTTTAATGGCATTTTAAATGTATTTTTATTTTGTATACAAATTTAAATAACTGTCAGTAGTTTGTTTTAATAATATATATAATTATAATTTTTACGCAGCTTATTGCTTAAATATTGTGTGTCGTGTATTGATCAGCTTTTACTAAGTCAATTTGTMTATCCTAGGATGTACACAACGTGTTTAGTAAAAGCCCGAATAAAATTAAGAATTTCAGCATTAATTACTGAGTACAAACAGTAAAACCCAAGTTTACTAGTGATTGGGCATTTACAGTAACATATACATGATTATATTGATTTCCTTTTTCAATCTTCAACCTATATAAATTGAATTTATTTTACAATTTCAGTTATTTTGTTGCAACTCAAAAATTATTCGTAAGATCTTCAAATTTTTCGCCACAATCTACAGGCTATTAAAATAGTTTTAAATGATAATGATTTGAGAAATAAAGTAATTCCTATTTTAATTGAGACCATTGCATATAAGATTAAATTATCCTTGTTACATAAGGTTATTTAATAACTTAGAAACTTCTAAATACTTAGGACCTAAGTATGGTATGAAATTATTTTTTGACAATGTCTTCTTAAATTGAACAAGATTACAAWATTTATTTACCAACAAATAATTTAAATAATTCACACGTGAAAATAATATTATCATCGAAAAAATTAAACATAAGTAATAATAACGATTAACCTACCTATATATACTTTGTATAACCTAATTTATTTTATCTGTTTTTATACTTTTAATCAAATGGCCTCTACAACATTCGAGTTAATTATGATAAATAGTTATACAATAATTATACGCGTAGTAGAATATGTACGAGATGATAATATGTAAAAACCAATTGAGTGATGTAGGTAATTATTTGTATTATCGTTATTTATATTTTATTAGAAATCGGCTCGCTACAACTATTTGCTATAATGTATGTGAGTAAGTACAAAAAGAGTTTTATAGGTACACTATTGTAAACATTTTATAGAAGTGATTTATAAAGTGTCCAAAGATTAATTTGTATTAATATGTACTTTATTGAATATAATTATTCATTTTAAGTTCTATATATAGGYACCTATTGTAGAATAAAATTGCAAACGGGACTTAACATCCAATTATCTTTACAATTATTGCTTATATAAAAAATGTGAGATTTTATTTTTATTTATAATGATACGAAAATTATCACTAAAATTGAAAATTAAAATTAAACTGAGTATTAAGTATAGTTGCAATATATAACTATATATACGGCTCAAGCACAAGGGCGCCCTCGGAAATATATAACCATCAGTGGGAGAGTGAAAAATCTTTGATAGCACAACACATATATTTTTGATTTTTAAAAGTGATAAAACTATTTATAATTAAAATRTCGGGGGTCTGAACCCCTGCACAAACACGAACTAATGACTATTTTGCGATTAATTCATCATAGGGTACATCTTTTCGAGAAGGTTCTGCATAAATGATAAACTAAAATACAATTTTTGCACATTAAATATGTATATAACTTTATAACTTCAGAAACAAAGACTGTCAGGTCTCAAGTTATATTATATTTTACATTTAAAGTCTGCAAAAGGTCTAAGGCGTTGACCGTGTTGACCTGTCTTTTTTAGTTTTTTAGTTAAAGATTTTTTGTGAACAAATAACATCTTACCAGACTACTCTATTGCACTATAGGTACACATATGCCGAAACATCATCGATAGACGTCTAACATGGTCATCTCATCTTAAGGACAAACGCAAAAAACTCAATACAATTCTTCACCTATACTAAAAAAAAAAAAAAACCTATACTAATAGGCCACTTCTCCGCTCAAACTTATAACATTACCATTTAAACCCATACTATATAGAACTCTCCAATAATCGCTCTAGTTACTAGTTAAGTATACAGAATAGTTATACATGGAGTTCCACTAAAACATCAAAAAAGAGAACTATCCAAGTCTTCCAGAATATCTGGTGTCGTATAATCACTGTAGCTGCACCCTGGTGGCCTGGTATATCTATATCAATACAATAAACTCTGACCTAAAATTCTGTTCTCTCAAAGAAACTGCTATACCCTATACTACAGACGCTTCCACGTAAAACTACAATCCAACCCCAACCAGCTAGTTCATCAGGGACCTTATTACCATACCGAAAACCCGACCATCAGACGACTCAAACGAAACTGCAGGTGCCGTGACTTGAAAACTGTACAAATTGTCAATTGTAAATGTAAATGTAAAGTCATTAGATGTCTCTAATATGAGATTTCCAACCATGATAYATCATTCATTATTGAAACCTATGAACAAGAACCTTTAGTGACAAAGCAAGATTTCTTGCCAGTGAAAAATTCAATCATCATAATGTGAAAATTAGGAGACTAAAAACCAGGATCATGGCTGCTCAACCTATTTGAATCTGTCAATCCGTGAACTTAAATGTCGGCTGGGCATTCGTTTTATATCGTCTGCAGCAGTTTGTCGCTAGCCACTATAAATATTATATATCTATATTATTTATAGTCTAATATAGATATATTAGGTGGAATAATTTCGTCCGAATAATATATTATACCATATATAAAACACATGGCCAACACTTTTACTTTCCTTTCCGGTGTACAGCAAACAGTATTTTAAAACGGTTTCCGTGTTGAGTTTATATCATACAGCTACATTGGTTACTGATACTTTCACTTTTTTTGTGTGCATATTCCTACCAAGAAATAACTACTTCCTATAATTTAATAAAATGTAATCTCCAAGTTAAACATTTTGAATCTACCTAATAAAAAAATGGATTTAAGATTATTAAATAAATAATTACTAAGATAACTTTATAATTTATTAGGTATTTAATCAGATTAATAATGTGTTTAGAAAAAAATTGACAACATATAGGAAATCAGAAAAAATTGTTTAGTTCTTGCACTGTGTGTATAGTTTGGAAGGTAGTAACGATAGTGTAACTTAGTATTTATACACTATTATATTATTTTGGCCCTAAAATAGTAGACGTACTTCTTTCATTTCCTATAGTTAATCACGAGAGCGGAGGAATTGTTAAGGGCTTACAATGAAGCGTTATTTTTTTTTTATGCACAATTATTATTACTGGAAGAAATTAAAATAAATTATCTAAACATTTAATAAAACCATTCATGTAAATTGAAAGCAAKACTACAGTGGAAATTATAAATGTCATTTTAGAAATTTAAATTAGGATTTAAACATTTGGCATTTCAAAAATTTKTATAAGCATTTAAAATTTTATTATTATAAAATCATTATTAATAGTCCGTAAATTATAATACATTTGCGTTTTAAACTATAAGATCTTTATCGGCAGTTAATTCATTAATATCCAAGCTTCACAATATTTATGAATAGGTTTTCTAAGATTTAGGCCATAGAATAATATAGTTTKTCTGTAATAAAATTGAGATTAGCTATCTTATTTCAAACTTCATGAAATCATAGTTATTTAATATTTATATACAATTTTAATTTATGGTAATGAGCATAATATTATAATTATAAATATACCAACTACATTTTTAATGTTGAARACACTTAGTGGTTTACATTAAAAATTAAAAATAATTAAGTTTGTTTGCAAATCGTAATATTCCGATTCACGTGCATGGAACACAAAATATTTCTCAGGTTGATAGTTTACTGTTTTAGTATTAAGCAGATGGATAGAAAAAATGAATAATTTAAATTGTAAAAATATCAAGTACCTGCTAACTGCAATAATTAAGTATTACCTATTATAATCAGTGACGTTATACGAACATTTTATATATTAAAAGCACATCTTCCTAGTTCCTAGGTAGATATTTTATAATGATTTTTTTTATTATATTTATATTATTTAAAACATAAATAAAATAAATGTACTAGTACTACTACTACTACTAATACCTATAATCAATAGAGTATTTATTATTATAGGATAAAACGTGCAATATAATATTATCTTCCAAGTTTCCTTGTTGGTTGTTACATACAACAATAAYACAGCATGAGTTTTGTTACCTAAGTGCTGAGTTTTAAACTATAAATCATTAAACTACACCGGCTGTTTAATGCTAATTTACCGCACTAAATTAAACCATAAAATAGATTAAGCAAATGTTAAAATCGACAAATTACTTATTTAATATAAATCAAAAAATGATAGTTGAACATGAAAATATTTTACACCTTAACAAAATTGCCTACCTTAATATTATTTGTAGTAATTGGCGCCAAAAAATATGTTCGTGGCGCCACTGATCGTAATTCTTAGGCATTGGTTTTCAATAGACTAACGAAATTCGATATCACGTAGATTATGGCACACCTTAAATTATATATATATAAAAACATTGAAATAACTAGTAATTTATGACTAGTTGTTTTAAAATGCGTAAACCTAAGCGAGCACAATATACGAAAATATTAGTRTAGGTAGAGAAAAATACTATTTTTTTTTTTTTAATGCACGTGGTATATTGATCGCGATGATCGCGACGAGTCATTTTTTACTACGAGAAAAACTAAAAATGAAACGCACAGTTTATTGCCTATAGTTTTTATAAACAGATACACAAATTATAAAATATATATCACAATTCACAGAAATATAACACATATTGTAAAGAYAAACTGCAGTAATTACTTATTATTATTAGAAAATAAATTAAAAACTCACCTTTCCACGTGCTGAAAACACGTAGGTATAATATAATAATATATCAATTGTATTATTTGAAATAGGTACAATAATATCGCATCGACTAACGCACGCGGGTAGGTAGACTGTAGTACGAGCACGACGAAACTGCGAAAGTGCCGAGTGCGATTGGAACACTTGAAGCAGCTGCTGATCGGTCCTCACGCCGGACACAAGACAGCAACAACAACAATAATAATAATAATATTATGTAAACTCCGAACAGCTGTTGTCGCGCACCGCCCTCGGGTGCATACTGAATTACTGAATAGTGAATTGTTACTCAACAGTGGGTATACCTATGAAGATATTAAAAAAAATATATATATATCACAGCCGCGGCGTGTAAAGCAATAATACTACTAGCGCCGAGGCACCACTACGGTAGACACACACTGCGGTTGCGCGGACGGCCGGACCGATGTATACTTACGATGATCGTCACGCAGCAGTGTAAAAATAATAAATAAATAAATACGAAACCGCGATTAAATTATGTGATTTATGCCGCTATCGAATTATCGTTTTCTAGTCAGACAAGCGCGTATTACTATTTTGATGATATTATTACTATATATTATATATAATACTATAGTATACTAGTATACTACTGAGTAGTGACATATATAAATATATATATATTCTTTATTTAAAATTGGGTAGTCACTAAATTGTATCATTTCATAATGTGCATGGTAATGGTCTAATAATACTCGATTCAACAAAATAATATGATAGGAGACGAACAAATGAACAATTCGAATCAGAAAGAATATGTAAACGAGAAGAAAAAAAAGTTTAATATTTACCCTCAATTCTATACCTAGCTATACACGCGTTACCAGAACGTATAAACGGAGTAGGAGATAAAACCTCACCAAAAATTTTTCAAAAGAATATTAATTTCTTATGAGATGTATTTTTYTGATTAATTTTGATTATTAGTAATGAAAAAGGAAAAACTAAAATATATTAATCCCCCAGCCAAAAAACAAAGAAAAATTCAGGTTCAAGTATGCCATTGTAGTATGGTATAGACTATATAATAGACACATTGAGGTATAGAAAAAGAGAATATTGTCAACTACGATGTGAAAGTTTAATGTACCATGGTTGATACGAATACACCAAATATGCAATRATAAATTAACCTATTAAATAAGTATTTAAATATTCACCTTCATCATTAAAACATCCAAAATATGATAGGACGCATCAGTGAATTTAAATTAAACGTAAGCCTTAATAATTTTAGGGTCCACATTCGCATTCATGATATCCTCTAACACGGCAGATGACGCTCATCCTGTTTCTCCTGTTCACTATTCAAAATTTAACTGAGGACTATGGCTCTTATTTATTTCGAGAATATATGACATATTATCAATGATCTTGATTTCAAATTTACTAAATAGGTATCTCAATCCTAGCCCAACTGGCAACTGCCCACATATAAAATATTGCGATCATGTGCTGTAAGACGTAAGTCATTGAAAGTTTTAAGCTTTGTAATAACTAATAAATTATAGAATATAGACTCTTTTGAAATTTTGGCCGTAGCCATTTTCCTYCAAAAATGAGATACCATTTTGCTCCACTGTCCATTTTACACCAAAAATATAAAAAATAATTCTTGAACATTTTCCTCCAATAAATAAAACAACAAAATAGTTAATACAAATAACTTATGCATAGCCAAAAAAAAAATATTTGTCAGGTATTATGTTTAATACAAATAAATCAATAAACGCCGCTTTTTCAGACATGTTTAAATTAAAATTCAATAGACACAAAAGAACTATAAACACATCCAACACTATAGACACTATTCGATGTACAGTTCGCTACTTAAAATATGTGTAGTCTTATTAATGCGAGTATATCGTATACATAGGTCCAAATAGGGGGTGGCTTAAGCACACCCAATTTTAAAATTAGCATCCTCAAATAATGTTGTTAATTATATGTATAAAAAACTTCTTACAAAAAAAAAAAAACTAAAATGACAAAATGCATAGCTTAAGCATCCTTAGTTTTTTTTTATTGAAACTGCGCCTTTAATCCTATACATTCGTGTGTCTGTCTCACTTAATGGTGTAATCATAATAATCACTAACAACTGATACCTACACAATAAAATATATATAAGTATATACGTATATTCCCGTATTTTATATAATGTATACAGTAACTACAGTATACGTATCTTTATTAGGCTTAACCGATAGCTAATATAGATAGCCGATACCAGTCACCAGAATGTAATCATCAACCGATAAGCGTAAAATGTGATCCTAGTTTTACTTTATCTTTTTAAAACAGAATGTAATACTACAAGTCTACAACAAAAATATTTGCTAAAATATTGGAGGAAAATGGAAACTAACCTTTTTTTTGTGGAGGAACCCGATATCTCGAATTTCAAGATATAAATGGAACCTCTCAAAATTTTAATGGATCTTGACCATTCGACGGCAGTACATACTACATAATATATAGTTAATACCGGACGATGTCATAAACACGGTACGATTAATGATTATACGTTATTATAGCTACCTCTTCTATTTCAGTTTTATTTATATGGCGTGGTTAAAATCCATAATTTGAATATGTTACACACACATATATATATATATGGCTAGGTTATGCAATATTATGGATTTTTTGTCCAGTCCCGTCCACATTTCGAATAACCGTCCACGCTAATCACGCGTCAATGAGAATACTCATTACAATAATTTATAATATTATTATTGAATAAAATATTATTTAAATAGATACATTGAAGACCAAAAATTAAAACTGTAACGGATATTAATTTAATTAACCGCCAATGTAAACGGTGTATTGCAAACATATTACAATAATTGGAATAGTAGCTAGCGAGGTCTCCCATATAATAATAATAATAATAATAAACTATGACATCAAAGTTTCATAAATGGCATAATCATTATTCATTATGACAATACACCGGGGTCTGGGTACAGATGACTAAATAATACGAGTACCTATATTACAAATTTACAACTAACATGATAATTATTTGTAATTTATAAGGAAAAGGAAAACTTGAACACCTAAGGATTCATTTTATAATCAAACTATACAGCTGACCCAGGGAGTTACGTACTGCCCAACAATCAATGAATATATAATATAGTGATACACTGGCACACTGCGGATACCTTTTAGTTAAACAGTAAACTATTAATTTATGACATAAATTRAAGTAGAAAATTGAATACAAAAAATGTACTATAAGTTCAATAATTCATTAAAATCATATTATAATATATAAAAATTAAACAATTTTATTAATATAATTATATAAATATAGCAGACTGCTCACTCTGTGTGCCTTACGACACAGACACACAGTTTACCGTTCAATACAATTGAACATGGCTTATAGAATAAAATTTAAAAAATAAAGAAATTAAAGATCTAAAATAGTACCTATAGAAACTAGATGTGCATATTATGGTTTTTAACTTGTGAATAGTTGAAATAAATGAGAAGCTATAAACCTATATATAATATTAGGAACTTATTTAATATAACCTAATAACTATAACAGTAGGTAACTAGGTAAAATAAAATTATAGGTAGGTAAGTAATAGGCCAATAAGTATAGTAGGTATGCTATAAATACATGTATACCTTCATACTAAATCAGTAGCGTCATCTCAGTTTTTGAGAGTGGGGAGCATAAGTTTTGACTGGCTCATAATTAAACTGAAAATAATCGCTTGCTAACAATTACATTACATTACAATTACAACTTACTACAATAATTTGTTGATATACTATCTTAAATCGTGACATAGACCATAATAGTACTTCTATGATCTATTAATTAATATTTAATATACATAAATATTAGAAATACATTAGGTACAGACAGATACCCACACCCTACACCAAATTTTTTACGTGTATTAGCACGAGCCACGAATCTTGGTTAAATTTTATTTAACAATGAGTAATGATAGTTGATACGAATCATGTTTGCGGGCTAACGACCCAAAACTAGCCCGACACAAGCCCATACCCAGTCCAATAATGACAAGGAGGGAATGCCACCTTCCCCCTCCAACCTTAACGATGTCATTTTACTAAGTTGGACATATTATTTACTTAGCTAACAGCTATGTCTACTCAATATAATCATCAATATCTCGTACGGCTCGTACGGTTCTATCATCATTTAGCACACTTCGATTATAATATGTATACTATAGTGTATAATATAGATATAATAATATATAATATAGATACTACTTTTTATATTATGGTCTATGGTTCTAACAATATTTGCATTATTAAAATATTTCCATGTACATGCTTGACCTTGGAACTTGAATAAACAATTAATCAACATTGAAAAATGAAAACATATATTTTTATTACTATTAATGTGTCATGCTATGACGATGGCTCTGGGACTAAAATGCATTTTAAAACATGTGGAATATGTCCATAAGTATATATGGCGTTGAGCAAATCAAAGTATATGTGTAGGTACCTTAAAAAAAATAACTAAATTATACGTCATTAGAATAAAAAATTCATATAATAATTTAATAGGTATACACATAAAATATGCAACAACAGTCAACAATATTTAATAGGTAAGCCATAAAAAAAGGTGACTAATATAACAACCATTATCAATATTATGTAAAAATATATATGATGTTTTTCAAATTTAAATAACAACCCGTTTATTTACATATTAAATATAATACATTTAAGATTTTAAGACAATGATTTTTTTTTTTATAAGTGTTTATTTGAAGTTTAAACTAGGACTAAAATTTGTGACATAACGAATTTCGGAAGGAAGAATTTTTAAATGAATTTCGTTAGTCGTATAGTATATTATATTAGTCATTAATCATTATATTGACAAACAATCATAATGTCATAATTTATGTAATATATTTATTTTTAGCGTATATCTATAATATTGATTTAAGTTGAAAAATAAAACTTATAAATAAATATGTATAGTAACCCCGTGACCACTGCTATAACATTGACTATGAATTGAAATTTAATTTATCCATTTTATCCTGTGGTAATTCATTGACTATTGTAGCATGTAGAATGACTATAGAATGCCACACGGCGTCAAATGTTTTATMAAATTAAATAAAAACCTGCTAAGTCGTTGCAAAGTTGCAATACCAATTTTTTCATCGGAAACTATAGACAATTTATTTACTTTATGTGTGGGGCAGTAGCACAGAATAGATTAGTAACAGTAGTCCAGTCTCTAAAATATCCAAATGTTCGTAATACACAATACACACATAGTCCCAAATCAGTCAAATCTAAATTATACATAGTACCTATCAACCTATCAATTAATATTAATATGTATTTACAATAAATAATTTTATTTAAATAAAGTAGAACTTCTATTTAACAAATTTAAAGGTTCTTTAAACAAATTTGTGAAATAGAATTTTTGTTGAAAACAATTTTTTTTTAAATATAACTCATCATTTTAAGTGTACAACATTCATGAAAATAATAACACATAATATCAGAAATAAATAAAAATAAATTTAAATTAGGTATGCAAAATGTAAATATTATAGTTTTTTTTTATTCTTTGTGGTCGAAGAACTTTCTGATATCCTGTATTAATATTGTTATTTTAAAATTGTATAGAATGTATTATTATAAAGGTTTAGTGTGAATAACCAGAATAACACACTTTTAAATTTCGTACTGCACACTAAATTTTTCGTACTACACACAATTTTAAAGACTGCAGTAGTCCGGAAAGTTATGAGATTCCTAGCCAAAACTCAATGCATAGCATAGACCACGATGTATAGAGAAGATATCTATATCCAGTGTTGTAAAAAATACTTTTAAAAAGTATTTAAGTAGGTAATTACTCAAATACTTATAAAATAAAGTATTTAAAATACCACCCAAATACTATCTACAGTAAAGTATTTGACATAATTTTCAAATACAAAACAAAAAAATCAAT